ATACGCTTTATGATTTTCTAAACAATTTCTTTGAAAAAAAGGACGTGATGCGTTCATAAACAAACAGACAGACAGACAATTCTAAAAATTATAAAAATGTACTTATTTAATGAGTTTCAGTCTCCATAATGATTTTAGTCACAAATTAATATACTATACAATGTACAGAATCAGACACAGCATGTGATTACCGCATGTATAGAGATATAAGGATAGATGGCGCTGTTAAAATCAATTCTAAAAATAAAAGAGATTAATTGACGCGATTGATACAATAAAAAAACTTAAAAGAACTTATAAATCAGGCCTACATCGTAAGCAAGAAAGAAAGTTTGATCCTCGCTGAAACCAACGAAATTGTTAATAGCTCTTTTAAAATTTGATTTACCATGTAGAGTACTCGGCGGTAAAGAATAAATGACATTGTCAATACACAGTAGGGCAGCGAGTAATTTAAAGATTAACAGCAAATATGAAAAGTCATTTACAGAAAAAAACCACAACCTGCCTTCTTGCATGACATTTGTGCAACACCACCATCTATCGATGAAATGGGTTAACTATTGTACTTTAGATTTACATAATAAGGTTAATATATTTTTTAATATATTTATTACGTTCTTTATGCAATACTTTTGTTTACTGCGTTTTAGATATAATTTCATCATTATAGAACATTATTTTACATCATTTAATTATGTTATGATTTATAATATGATATTAGTTTAAAATGTACTTGATGACTCAACAAACGCCACCATTGAACAAATTCGTACCTATACTTTGTAGCCATACTTCAGAATATCTATCATAACTTTTGATGGAATGAACTAATTTTAATGAAATAAAGACTAAATGTAACCTGAAGATACACTTTATAAATTCTTTAACGATTCTTCTGATATAAATTGGTACTTTATACGTGATACGTTAACAAACAAACAGACAGACAAACAGACAGACAGACAGAAAATTCTAAAAATGGTAGAAATGTATTTAATTACTTATTTTTAGTACCACTTAATCACTTTTATTATATAAATCTAAAATGTACAGACATCGGCTATTTACATTTTTATTATATGTATAGATTACGCCTTTATTGTTATTTCTTTTGGCCTTATTTATTAGAATAATAATTAGTTTATGGTATGTTGTTTGAAATTTTTGCAAAATCTTACAATTTCTTACAAAGTCACAAATTTAAACAAGTGTCCCTCATAATTTTCTAGTAATGTGTTACATGGTAACTTACATGGTAAATGTCAGTAATTTTAGTCTTAACTACAAAAGTGAGGGTATTTGCAGTATTTGTATTTTATTGTATCAGTATTTTATTGGATATTATATACAGAATTTTCAAGTTGTGTTTATCTTTCATTATATGAAACATAGGTACTAAATAAACACCTGTTGAATTCATATTATATGGATTTCTTTCTAAAATTTCTTTGAAATTGCGGCTTCTTTAATCATATAGGGTAGAATGGGGTAATGCCGGTCACTTAAGCAATAATTAATACACAGCGAATATAAATCAACATATCTTTATAGAACTAATCAAAATCTCATATATAATTATTCTACTATCAATGGCACTTTAATTCAGATCACTAGTAATCATAGTTTTGGTATAATAAACTTTAAAAAAAACGTGTTTGACTGGTATTACACGCAATGTAAGGTAAAACCAGTCAGCTGTTGGTTAATACCAGTCAAGCTTAATGGGAGCATAAATCACATTTATAATCTTTTGCAAAGTCACGTCCTGAGCATTCCGAGTGGGCCCAATGTCCACACAGTACACATCTGTACCACAACTCGTTGTCTCGTCCATAGTCATCGCATTTTAACAGTGGTAGAGCCACGCGGCAGCTTTTGCTGTCGCACGGATGGGCCGGCTCAAACCGGGGTGGTACCACGACCTCACAGAAAACCAGCGTTTACCTCTGCGTTTCGCTTGGTGAGTGCAGGTGGCCGGAGGCCCTTTTTACTGGAAATGAGGCATTCCATCTTAGTCCTCACGGGTGACAACGCATCTACATTTTGATTTGTAATAGAGGATATATGTAGATGTCTATGGGCCGCAGCAACCACTTACCATCAGGTGGACTGTGAGCTCGTTTGTCACCCTCATTCTATAAAAAAAAAAATTATACATCTGTTCCCGACATCATCTAAATCGGTGTCATCGTCTTCGCGTAAATCTGTCATCTCTATTTCAGAGTTTGAAGTACTGTCTTCGTTCATAGACTCATTCTGTAATACTTTCCTCTTCACTCCTTTCAATTCTATACCTTTCTTCAAATTCTTTTTCATTCTTGTTGGTTTTTTACGAATATTTTCTTTTTTGCTATCCAGATCTTCACTTATATCAGTTTCATCTTCTCTATAATCCATCTTCTTCACTTTTTTCACCTTTGTAGTTTTCATTGTTCTCTGTTTTTTTATTGTAATATTTTTCTTTATTTCCACTGTTTTATTTTCTTTTTTTCAACTTTTATTTGACCTTTTGCTAATTTTGCTAACATTTTTTGCTCTTTCTCAAATAAAACTATTTTATTCGGATTTGTTTGGTAAAGGAAGAAGATCCTTCACAGTAACTTTTTCAATATTTTCAATATGGGTTTTGACTGAAGATATGCCAGATGTTGAAGAAATAGGATTGTAATAATTGACATTGAACTTGGTTTCATCTGCAGCTGGTGGTGTTACATTATGCAAATCAATATAAGAGATATCGTCAATTGTGGAGACTAGGTTTTCGAAATCTAGGTCGAGCTGTGGAATGGCAGGCGAAAGTGTTGCGTTGCGTGATGTAACATGAGGCATTACAGAAGGAGAAATGGCATCGTTGTGATCATTTGAGTTGGGTTGAGAGATTTGTAAGGTTGCTTTTGAATGGTCAAGCAGAGATGGGGAATCTTGTATTCGATTATCATGATCGCACCTCTCTACATCAAAAAGTTCGCTATTGTTCATTACCTCAGCTGGTAGAAAATCTTCATCGGTAAATATGTTTGGGTTGTAAGTAGGGCATCGGAACCGGTTTTTCCCGATTCCAAAAGAACCGGGAATTCCCGGGTTTCAGGGGTTACGAGAAGAACCGGTTCCGAAAATATAAAACCCGGTTCTTTCGGTTCCTTTACAAAATGACTTTAAAAGTATATCACTGCAATGTAGTGTTATAAAAAAAGTGATTAGTAATCATTTCTGCTATTTATGGCAAACGGTAGGATTTGTAATGATATTTAATTTAATTTGGTATAAATTTTCAAGGGTTCCCCCACTAAAAGTGACGAAATTCTTCAAAAGCACATCGTAGCTGATTTCGGACAAGAATATTGTTTTGTTTTAGATGTAAAGACACCATGGAGTAGCATAGCCGCGATGTTTTCTGAAGTTAAAAACGATCAGAAAAGCATTAATTGATTTAAAATCTGATATACAAACAATAGTTACAAACACAGAAGAGTTAAATAATATATTGCATGTTTTTAAAACTATCGTAGAAGCTGTATCCCGTTGCGATGCAACATTGATTACAGCCGATGTTTCTTTAAAATTTGCAATAAGAAAGTTAATTGAAATGAATACTCATCTTAGTAATAAAATGTTCACTGCATTGCGAAAACAATATAAAAAACATGCAAGCATCAATACTGCGATACTTAACCAACCTTGACAGTTATTTTGCCAGTATGGACGAAGCTGCAATAATCTTTTCCCGGCCTACAAGTGATGAAAGGTTACACGAAATTGAAAATTTTTACTTGGTAGAGCCATGCTGCAGCTATATTACTAGTATAGTTGTAGCACGAATAGGTCGGCTCGACCGGGGAAGGACCACGCTCTCACAGAATACGCTGCTGTGTATGGTGAGTGTAGAGAATCGGACTTCTACTGATCGGATCGGATCGGATTTTTACTGGAAACGAGGCATTCAATCTTAGTCCTCACGGGTGACAACGCATTTTGATTCGTCATCGAGGATAGATGTAGATGTCTATGGGCCACAGCAACCCCTTACCATCAGGTGGACTGTGTGCTCGTTTGTCATCCTTATTCTATAAAAACAAATCGCACAAAAGCTAGACAAAAAGTATCCCTTGAAGAAACGCCAGCAATTGGATGTCAAAATCTGCAGGAAGTTGAATTACATGAATCCCCCCTAACAAATGAAGAGGAATTTAATAGAGAGCTGTCTAAAGCTGTTAGGTAATAGTGCTACTGAATCGACAGATCAAGAAAATGACTTAATTACTACTGTGAGAGTTGAAATGGCTCTATTTGAAAATGGTGTGCAAAGACAACGAGTACTACTTATCGATAGCTAATAAACATTTAAAAACTATATCGCCCGCCAGTGTAGAGCCAGAGCGAATATTTTCTTCGTCTGCAATAGGCTGCGTTCGTCTTTGAGTGATAAAAATTTGCATGCATTAATTTTTCTGCGTTTTTTATTTAAGTAATTTTTAATTAAAACTAATTTTATTTTTCATAAGTGAGCTGATTTATGTTTTGTTATACTTAATAAAAGTATTCGTAAAGTATATTCTATGATAAAATATTGTAATGTTATAATAGAATAGAATCTTTATAAATTATTTTTATGTTGAATGATATTAAAATTTAAGTAATGTTGTAAAATGAATGTTACTAATTAGTGAGATGTTTGATTATATTTAATTAGAAAGAAACTATTGCAATTATTACTTGAATAATTACTTTAACCCACGATTTGCAATAAACCGTTTTCTTTATGAATATTATTATCGTTATTCACATTGAACAAAATAGCCTCCAACCTAAAAGAAAAAAAAGAACCGAAAGAACCGGGTACCCGGTTCTGGCAAAAGTTTAGAACCGAAAGAACCGGTTCCTGGAAAGGGACCGGTTCTCGATGCCCTAGTTGTAAGGATATATCCCTGAAGCAGTAAATTCTGCTTCGGATTTCGAAATTGTTGCTACTCTTTGGAATGCCTTTCTGAACAGCGAAGCTATGTCACCTTGTGTAATTTTCGTCCCAAATTGCATTTCATAAATATGTTACATTCTTGCTTATATGTGGTTTTTATGGGACCATAAATGGAAATATCCAATGGCTGTATTCGATGCGATCCGTGTGGTGGCAAAGACAATATCACAATGTGATTTTCTTTGCAAAATTTATACGAATTCCAGGAAATGTGGCTAGAATGATTATCTAAGAGGAGCAAAACCGGATCACTTTCCAAAGGTTTTGCATATTTCGTAAAGTGCTTAAGCCATTCTACAAAGAGCTCTTCGTTTATCCATCCGTTTTTGGAACACCTATATACTGCTTCACGTGGTCCATCATTTTCCAAAGCTGTCGAATGCCGTTGACGTGGATAAATAAACATTGGAGGAATGTATTGTCCTGTGGCACTCATAGCGCATACTGCCGTAACATTTTGACCCCTTTCCTCACAGATAATAGAGCCCACTCGTTTTTGGCTTTTTTCGGCTACAATTTTGCCAGAATCCTGTACTGATGTTACGCCAGTTTCATCCACATTATATATGTTTCGAGGTGGAAACTTATATTTTTGCATCAAGTTTCCCAGCTAGCCAAAAAATCTTCCTACTTCATTCCTGTTAAAAGCAGAAGCTCTATTTAGGCTTGTGCCTTCAGCCTAACGCACTGATAAGTTATTTCGTTTTAAAAATCCTTCAAGCCAATCTCTACCAGCTGATTCTGAAGTTTTGCTAAAGTTGTGCATGATGTTATTTCTTTCTGCGTACTTAAAAGCCATCTTCCTTATTTCTATAGCAGTACACCCGTAAAATATATTCGCAAGCAGTCTAATTTGAGAGGCCATATTTTCTTCTTGTTCTTTGATAAAGGTAGTATTTCTTCCCAGTTGTGGAGTATCAAAATTTAATGCCAAAATTTAAAAAAATAGTGTAGAAAATGGAATGCCAGTACATCGGGCGGCTTCTCTTATCGGCTTTCCATCTTTAACTAGTTTAAAAGCAGCTTCCAATGATTTTTTGCTCCAAGTCGCCTTTTTGCGCGCTTTTACATGTTTTGGCAGCATTTTGAAACTACCCTGAAACAATAACATACTAAAAGTTTTAATGACAATGACTGTTTAAACTGAAAACTTTACAAAAAATTGATGTCGGTGTGCGGGTAATGCCGGTCAGCCATGACCGGTATTACCCGTTGATTGATATTTCTAAATATTTAAAATTTATTTAAAAATCTGCAGGATAATCAACAAAGATGATTTGACGATTGCGCACAAGTAGTTAGGCAACACTTATATTAACTTTACATTTGAAAACTATCGAGTAAAATATACTTACTTCTTATTTTCGGACCGCAAAATTTTACAACAAAGTGGCGCGAAAACTTTCAACGTGTCTTCTTCCCAAACGTATGCATGGAACTGAACGGGGTTCGGCGCTCCTGTGAGGGGAATAGTCACGCCACCCGTTTTGTATGTGTGTGTGCTTATAATCAATGTAACATAATTGGAAGTGTGCTGACCGGTATTACCATCTGACCGCCATTACCCGATTTCACCCTAAGTAAATATAAGAATCTTCTCGCGTGTTCGGTCTGGTGCGTTATGTTCTGTTACATGGTGTTACATAACACACTGGATAGCATTAAGCTTAGTTCACATTGCCTTTAACTGACTGCGGTAGAGCTCAAAAGCGGGTATAAAATTTTGCTTGAATGTGAATAAAGTTGTATATTATGTAATTATAATCGTGTTTTCTCTTCTGTTGCCATAGAGAAGTAACGGAAATAAATTTTAACATAGTGTAAAAAGATCTTTAGAGAAACAAACAATTACTTGATTTAATACAACAAAAAAGTGATTTTTTAGAAAAGTTTCCACCGAAACCTATTTCTAATAATGAACAAGAAAAACTTATTCCATGCACTAGAACTAACATGTTTATAGAAGAAAATTTACCATACATTTGCCTAGAAGAACCCTTGAAGACTAATAAAAATATTGAAAAAAAGTGCTCAAGAATATAGTTTCTAGTGATGTCCACAAAAAAAAAAATGAAAACCAAAATAAGTTCATACCGGTGTCGTTCATTACAGCTTTATAAAATCTGACCAAACGATTACGGCAGATATCTATTGTCAGCAACTGCTAACCATGAAGGAAGAACTAGCTGCTAAACAGCCGATAATGCTCAATCGCTCTAGGCCACTGCTGCTTCACCACAACGCAAGACCACACACTGCACATCAACTAAGTTAGATGAGCTACAATTGGAATGTCTGCGACATCCACCATACTCCCCGGACCTTGCTCCAACAGATTACCATTATTTCCGGAATTCGGACAACTTCTTACAAGGAAAATAAATCAACTCCGATGCGGCAGTCCAAACCGCCTTCAAAGAGTTTATTGATTCTCGCTCCCGTACAAAACGCTAATTTCATATGTAAGGACCTAATAAGTTTAAATATGTTTGCCATATTTTTATTTAAATTGCTTTTATTTTACGATGATCTATTTTTTCAAATTAAAAAAAAATATTAAATGGCGGTGTGTTATGATGCTGTCATAAAAAAAATAAGAGAACTCGGACAAACAAATTAAGGTAGACAACAAGAGTCTACACCATTATTGTAAAAAGTGAAAACACGCATTCACCCATACCTAAAATGTTTTTGGATACAAATAACAAAGAAAATATTCCTATAGCTAGAGCAGTATCTCAACTAGCCCTTTTCTTCGATATAACTACCTACGCTGTACGCCCCATTGGAGGGTTTTTTAAAAGTTTTCTTCCTCGCACAACTTCCATGTGGAATCTACTACCACCAGCGATTTTTCCGCACCGATACGAATTAGGGACCTTCAGGAAAAGCACTCACACTTCTCGCACTCCTTTTTAGAAGGCCGGCAACGCATCTGCTATTCCCCTGGTGTTCATGGGCGGCGGTAATCACTTACTATCAGGTAAGCCGTAGCTCGTTTACCCCCTCTCCTATAAAAAAGTTATATATTGTTACATTGCTATAAAATATAATCTGACGAAAATACAATAATAAATTTATAACAAATTGAAACACGACAACAAACTATACCTTTTATTATACAATTAGGTACCACATATTTAGTTGCACTGTACATCTTCTAACAAATTGTAGCAATATATAAGTACCTAACATAATATGTAGAAGAAAGTAACTAAACGAAACTACCTACTTGTTGTTTTAATAGGGTACCGACACCACACGGATCTCGCGCCAACTTGTGGGCCATCATTCCAATACTTACCAAGTGAAGCACAAACACCCGCTCTACACGATGGCCATCGGTATTGGCCAACACATTCGCCACTATGTTGGCCAACGTGAAGAGCCGCCTTAAGCGTCATACAATAAAACGCAAAGCGAAGCCACACGTGTCGAATTTATGCGATACAAAGCACATTCATATATACTAAAAACCTGCGACTGATGTAACAGCATTGCGAAGCTTGTAGCTCACTCGTAGAAGCCTTATTGCGATGCGTGTCTGATGGCTTTGTGAGTGCATCGACTCGGGAGTTTGGAGTTAAGCTAAGCGCCTTCACACGGTCCATCGTGCTGTGCGTCTCGCCAATGTCACGAACGATGCACGATTAAGAAAACCACAGTGAGTCAATAAATTATTTGTTTAGAAAGACGCTGCTGCCCATGTCCTGATTTGTTAACCTCTGTCGCCTTTTGCGACACCCATGTGATCATATGTGGTAGTGCATATTCTTACCACTCTACACTAAAAATAAAAACCTGCGGTTGCCAACCGGGCTATGCTCGGAGTTTCGCTGCGTAATAAACTCAGAAATGAGGATATCCGCAGTAGAACCAGAGTGACCGACATAGAACAACGGATTAGTAAGCTGAAGTGGCAATGGGCCGGCCATATAGCTCGAAGAACCGACAACCGATGGGGAAGAAAGGTTCTCGAGTGGCAGCCTCGTACCGGCAGGCGAAGTGTAGGGCGTCCCCCCACTAGATGGAGTGACGACCTGGTAAGATATGCAGAAAGTCGATGGATGCAGGTGGCTCAGGACCGTGCTTTGTGGCATTCTTTGGGGGAGGCCTATGTTCAGCAGTGGACTTGTGAAGGGCTGTAATGATGATGATGATGATGATGAAGTAGACTTGCAACGAATATTCGGCTATTATTCGATATTCGGCTACTTTTTTCCTATTCGGCCGAATACCGATTATCTGGATACTATTCGGCCGAATATCGAATACACGAGTAAAATGATTTGTTGTAGTCAGATAATTGGTAAAATAAAAATATTGATTTATTTTATAATAATGTATTTTTATTAGAATCATTAGTCACAGGTCGCACAATCAACTTCCATATTATAAAAAAATAACAAAAAAAAAGCTATCAGATAAATGTCTATGCACTTCAATTATGGTAAAGTGAAAGATTATGGCTCAGAAAGACAAATTTTTTTTTGCATTTTAAGGAAGTAGTTTACTAATTTTCTTCTCGTAGACAATCCCAGCTTCCGAAAATAGACGTTCTGAATAAAAAACAGTACTTCCTTCCCTGCCGAATACTTTTGCCTAATATTCGGCTATTCGGCCAAAAAGCCCGCAGAATACTCGGTAGTCGGCGTGTGGCCGAATATACATATTATGTACTATTCGTTGCAAGTCTAGCTGTAACGGTAACGGTTTGTAAAATGACGTAGGTAAAGTCTACTCATTTCCGATTTTTCATCGTGCATTATGCATGACCTTGGCGAGACGTACAACAAGACGGACCGTATGTAAGACCTTTTACTGTTTTAGTTATATATTTAATGTGCAAATAATTTTAGGTGGATATGTGTGTGAGAAAATTCTGTCTATCTTTTTTGTTGGTCTGATTTAGGGAATGAAGTCAGTAAACCAAAACTTAATGGTCAATATAGGTAGTATGTTATAATTATTATGTATGTTTTTTTAATATCAATTTTTGATAATGAATGTCTAAGGAACAAGTTTGATTAAGTCGAGTATATCATTAATTATACAAGATTATTTTAAATGTAATTCTTAGTAAAGAAACCAGGGTTTTTTAAAAGGCAGAAAATGTGTTTATTATAATCTTAAAAATCATAAATAACTTACGCTTCGATGGCTCAATTACTTTAATAAACACATCAAATTTTATATTTTTTTAATCATTACAAAATCATGGAGGATAATAGTATCTATTATGAATAACTAAAAGAATCTTAAGACAGTGGCATTTGGCGTTTTTGCTGTAATATGACAAATGTAGGTCAAATTAATATATAATGTGTGACTGTGTGTGTTTGACACAATGTGTGACTTCAAATGAAATTCTAAAGGTATGTTTATACAGGTAAATATTAATAAGAAAATAAAATTGGCTGACATTGTTATAAAAAAAAAAAACTATGGAAATTACTGGGATAATAAAATGGGAAGCAGATTATCATAGTCAAAATCACTTCATTTTATTTTAACATCATCATGTTACACGAATTGGACATATTCAGGCATTTTACGAGGTAGCAGTTTACTAATTTAGTTCACATTTTATTGCAAAGC